GTAAACAGATGAAATACCCAGAAATCAGAACATACTTGAAGTTGAAAATTTGGCGTATTTTCAAACTTTCCCATTATTCTTTGAATTATCATCTGAAGTTGTTTAGAAACCTATTTTCTCGTCTAATCCACCTTCTCAGTATGCTTCCACAAGGACTGGGAAGGGAACATTCATGCATTTTTGATTCCACAGTGAAATAGATACCCATTTTTTTTTTTTTTTTTGAGAGATTTTCACTGTAGGGCGCGTGCGCTCGCCAGACAGACAGAGAGAGACATAGAGACAGAAAGTGAGAAATCACCCCCTGGGGGGATGGTCACGCTGCAATCCCTTCTCCTCCATTCTCCTCTCAGGATCTTGGGCACGCACGCACACGCGCCCGGCGTGGGTCGTAAGCCACCGTGTCCAGGACACGAACCGCGGTCGACTACGTGGGAGTCCAGCGACATAGCCATTACGCTAACTGCTGGTACCCTAGATACCCATTTTTTAGACAGAAGTACTGAATAATAATACTTTCATGACTTGATTGCTTTGTAATGTACCAAGAGAACATTTGAAACTGCTATCAATAGATTGTTTTCTTGGGCATTTTCCAAGATTATCTAAAGAAAGATTGCTATCTTTCTTTCTTTCTTCTTTTTTTTTTTTAGCGGTTTTTGCTATAGGGTGTGTGCACTCGCCAGAAAGACACAGACAGAGAGATAGAAAGTGAGAAGTCACCCCGCAGGGAGTTTGGCCTCACCGAAATCCCTTCTCCTCTAGGGATCTTGGGCACTTATGCACACTCACCCAGCATGAGCTTAAGCCACTGGGTCCGGGACTCGAACCACAGTTGACTACATGGGAGTCCAGCGACATAGCCATTACACTAACTGCTGGTCCCCTCATTGCTAGCTTCATGAGGGAAATCTTACCTTTTCTCTGGTATGTTCAATATGGAGATAATCAGCATGTTTTGACTGAATTATGTGTCAGAGAGTACTTTTAAGTGCTTTACCTATATTAAGTAATTGGGTACGACTGCTCACAATAACCCTGGCAGGTGGGTTCTGTTCCACCTAACAGATGAGGTGCTCAGGTACAGAGAGGTTAGGGTTTAGTAGAAGCAGAATTCTAACCTAGTAATCTGCTTGCAGAGCTCATCCTCAGTTACTTGGCTGTGTAGACCGGGAAGCGTGAAAGTGGGCCTCAGTGTCCTTGGGGATTGAGAGTTACTGTAGGATGGTCACAGTGGTCTGTGTGAAAGGAGCAAGCAGAACATTTCTCAGTCAAGGTGCAAAGCCATGAGAAGTAAGAACATTCTGGAAAGAAATTGGAGTCTGCATCAGCCTAGGACAGAGCTTCCAAGCAGATCAACTGGGTTTGAGGGAAGCTCAGAAGAACACTTGATTAAAGTGAGCAAGGGAGACAAGGAAGTATATTCATCGCAGGGTTTCTCAGCATCTTAATATACCCCTAAACTTTGCTGTCAGAGTTATACCTGCAGCTTCAAGCTCAGTAGAATAGAAGTCCTTTATATTATAAAAATAAGGGATATTGGGCCCTCCAGTGGTGTGTTATTTGGGATAGCTGGATCCCATGTGGCTGACTGTGCAGTTTGAGCCTGGACCTGGAAGCTTAAGGGATATGCAAGGTGTGTGTGGGTCTCTGCCCAGAGTCCCAAGAGAAGGGTACAGGAGAGGGTCTTGTGGTGTGGCTGTCCCCCCAAGAAAGCACTTTCTCCTCTCACTTTCTCTCTCACTGTTTTTCTACAGTGAGTGCTTGTACCCTATAGCAAATTGGGAAAAAAAAATAAAGGCAGGGGGAATATTAAGTGGAATGATATTCCTGAGTCTCTGGGGGATTACCCATATACAGCATGGCCTAAAATTTCCTAGGAGTCAGTTTTCTCTGTGTCTTTTCATAGCATTATTTTATACAGATATTATGATTTCTCTGCCCTTAGCCAGAGCTGTGCACTGTCAGATAAATGAACACTTCCAGTGGCACTCTTCTCCCTGGAAGGCCAGTCAGCCTCCTCACCTTTATGAGCTAGCCTGAGTGATGATAGCCAATGCCATTTATTGAGTTGGCAAGTATGTACCAGGCACGTACCTCATTTAATCTTCGTGCCCTGTGAGATAAGTATTAATTCTCTGTTGTATAGATAAGAAAAATGAGTCTCAGGAAGGATGAGTGATTGTCCAAGGCCTCCCAGCTAATTGGTGAAGTCTAGTTCTGACAAGGCCCTTGTTTTTCTCATTGACTAATAATTTACTCAGGAGGTTCTCTTCATCCTTCTTCCTGAAAGCCTAATACAGTACCCCTCTCTTGAATTGAAAGTGCCTTTCCAGTGGACTGTGCAGTAGAGAGTTTTACCTCCCTTGAGGGAAGAGCTGTTATCTGCCAGTAGCAACTGATTTCTAGAACATGACTTTTTTTTTTTTTTTTTAACTGGTTTAAATTTTTTTTCTTCAATGTATGCTTAAAAGGGGAAAAAAAAAAAAAAACAGCCAGCAGGTGGTGTGGTGGTTAAGATACCCAACTTGCACATGGTCAACTCCAGCTCGAGCCCGAGACTTGGTGTCTTGCTTTCTAAATTTCTGTTTCTCTCCCTTATCTGTCTCTGTCTCTGGTATGTGCATGTATCCTACAGTAAGTTTAAGAAATAATAAATAAAAGTAAATACATAAACTTAAAGTTTTTTTTTTTTTTTAATGTAAAAAGACTCTCTGAGGCTGGAGGCTAACGGTCATCAGAATTGTCCTTGATGAGTATGTTGGTGGGTGCTTGCATCCCAGTGCTACAGTATGACCAACATACTGGAAATTTATTCACTCTTAGCATTGACTTTGATAGGTGCTTGGGTTTGGGGTTTCATGAATGTTGTGGCTGCAAGTTCTGGGGTCTTGTCAATGCACAGAGCCTCAAGTGTCAAAGAAAAAATGATTGACACTTGTTAAAATGGTAAAGACTTTATTCACAACTAGCATGACAGGTTTCAATACTGTCACAATAGGTGAATGATACCAGGCTCAATTCCAAGTACAAGAACAACTGGGGACATATAGGCAAGGTTGGTGGGAATTAGTGCGTAGAAGATGACTGAGAGGAGACTGCAAGTGTGGAGGGATTCTTGCTGAAGTCAGGCCAAGGGCTTACACGTGGAAGTTAGGAGATGAGAAATTTGAAGATATCCAGGGTGGGGGATTCTCTCTGAACTGACTTAGCAGCATCTTTGCTAAAACTTGACTGTGCTGTCCCAGCCCAGTGCAGGTCTAGTTGAGAAGAGGGCTCAGAGGATTCTGACTGAAGTCTGGTCCACGGAAGAGTCTTTGTCAGTTCTTATTGCTTGAATTAAGTGTAAGCGTTTAAAAATTGGACTTGAACCATGTGAGGATAATCATGTGAATGACATTCCCCCCCCTTTTTTTTTTTAAGAATTATTTTATTAAACTTTATTTCCTTTCTTTTTTCTTTCCTTCCTTCCTTGCCAGAGAGGAACAGAGTAAGAGAAAAAGTGAGAAAGCAAGCTGCCAGGTCCAGGATTCAAACTGTAGTCAGCCATGTGGGAGTCCAGTGCCTTTAACCACCATGCCACCTGCCGGCCCAACATTCCCTTTTTAAAAATACATGCCCATTTATAGTGAGTGACTGGAAATTTTTTGATAATGGTTTTAGCAAATGGAAACATACTGTTAAATGTAAATTCCAGATAAATCTTTTTTCTTTTATTTCTTTTTGTTTTTGTTTGGTGCAGGTATCTGTAGCAGTTACATGATGATCTGAGTTGCTCTGAGATGGGATATTTGAAGTTTCTTAGTTTGCTGCACTATGAAGTTTATTTTTATTAAGAAACTTAAACAGTGCTTATTAAATTCCAGGCACTATTATAAACCTTTTACAAACATAGCTCATTGAATCCTCAGTACAATCATATGAAGTGGTTATGCCATTGTTATTTCTTTTTTACATATGAGGAAACAAAAGCCCAAAGGACTTTATTAAGTTGCCCAAAGTCACATAGCAAGCAAGTGGTGGGGTTTGCTTTCAGCCTGGGCCCCTGACTCCAGAGTCAGCATTCTGCATTCTTAATCACTCTGTTAGGTTGCATCCCAGGCAGTTGCCTCCCAGGGATTTTTTCCTTATTATTCTAGGCTTTTCTATTTTCTGCCCCCAAATAAGAATTCTTTTGTTTAGTTAGACTCTAGGCCTTGTTTAGACTGAAGCCAAGATTGGAGAGTATGTTTAGCCCAAATGTTCTAAAAATGACAAAGTTATTTATAAACAACTTTTAGGTCATCTTGTACCTTCTAGATCAAAATCAGTAGTTTTTTGGTAAAACACATTCTGTACCTTTGCCGATATCATTGGTGACCCTTTTTAATCAAAAGTTGGGATATTTTCCCCTCACTAATCACTTCAATGGCATATCTCCTTTAAAAAAATAATAATATTTACAGAGAATGAGTGGGAATTTCTTAATAAAGGCCTTGGTAGATTAGCTTTCACATATTACATATCTGGCACCAAAAACCCTTCTATAAGGGGCAAATCCCATTTGAGTAGAGCAGATCCAGGTTCTAAAACATTTATTGAGTAGGCTCTATAAATTTTGCTTAAATTGATTGAGCTGGTATTTTACAAGCTCCTCACTTGGGCCAGCTACTGACATGGTCATTACAGTGTTGGATGCTACATGGCCCACTGCATGGTTTGCATCTCAGACCTGATGGCTTGATGCTGGGCATATGTGCCTACATGCCCAAAATCCCTAAAGGAGAAATGGAAGAGAAGGGATTGGGGCGTGTGCATTCCCCATCGCCGGGGACAGAGGGGAATGGTACTTTTTTTTCTTTCTCTGTCTCTCTGCAGCAAGTGCACATGCTGCCTTGCAAAATTTTAAAAGAAAAATGCTCCTCATCAATACAGTGGCAAAATAAAATATATATAATACACATGGAAATGCCAGTAGTCTGTGGTAGCTCCCATTATGATCTTTTTCCTTTTAATTGCAGATCTGTCTATGGCAGTACAGAAGTTTTCCCAGTCACTACAAGATTTCCAGTTCGAATGTATTGGTGATGCTGAAACAGATGATGAAATTAGTATTGGTGAGTACTACTGTTCTTTAGTATCCTAAGTAATAATTTTGAAATTTCTACATTAGATATTTATCTCATTGAAATCAAAGAGACCCACATACCCACAAGTTAGACATTTAAAATATGCCAATGCTGATGAAACCGTAAGGGTGACTTCTAGAAAAGCATATTATAAATAATTGTTCAACTGAAACTCACTTTTTTTTCTGTAAGCAAATTACTTAATTATTTTGTAATTTGGTTCAGTCCTCTGAGAGAAAATATGGTTAAGTGTTTGTCCCTTCCTCAAAAAATTTATTGAAACAAATATGTATTGGGCACATGCTATTTAATAGTTCAGATACTAATTAAAGAATGATCTTTCTGGGCTAGCAGGTGGTGGGGTGGTTAAGATACTGGATCCAACATGGCCAACTCAGCGATTTGAGTCCTGGACCCAGCAGCCTGAAAAACATGCTAGGTATGCATGTATGCATACATGCCCAAAATCCCAAGAGAAGACTGGAGGAGAATCCCCTGGGAGGGGTGATTTCTCACTTTCTCTGTCTCTCACATGCCCTATGGCAAAAAACAAACAAACAAAACAAAAAAAAGAAAGGTACTTTCTTTTTTCTTGATACTGATGGTTTTTGAAGAATTATTTTAGTTATTTAATTTTACTTTTTTTTTTTTTTTAACTTTGGCCAGAGAAAGAGAGAAAGGGAAATTGACAAAGCAAGTCACCTGATTTGGAACCCAAACCACAGGTGGCCATGTGGGAGTCCGGCACCTCAGCCACCATGCCACTTGCTGCCTCTCTCTTTAAGAACTTGAGCATTGTTTTTATGAAGGAGATACTTCATTCTTGCTGCCCTAAACCAGTGTTCTTTCAGCATGCAAGACATTACTGAGAATCAGGACACTTGAAACCCTAGTTGAACTGCTACAATAATTTAGCAATCCAACGTTGGGAAAGCATTCCTATTTCTGAACAGATGATTTCAGTTCTCGTAAGATGCAGAGCTTAGGGACTAGTTGGTGGTGTGGACTGCTAGATCATACATGACTAACTGTGAGGTTGAAGTCCTGGACCTAGCGGCTTGAAAAAACATGATGGATGCTTGTGCATGCATGCCCAGAATACCAAGAGGAGAAAGGATTTCAGTGTTACCTACCTACCATCCCACAGTCTGTGTCTCTCTTTCTGGTGAGTGCACGTACCCTGTAGCAAATTAAAAACAAAACAAATTAAGAGGTTGGCTTATGTGATCTTACGTATTTTCTTTAATAAAATGTATGATTTAGTCTTTCTCCTTTGGAGAGAGGATTATGGAAAGAGGTTCTTTTTTGTTTGTTTTTATAAGTACAGGACTTTACATTTTCTTTGATCCATGAGAGAAAGAAAAGGATATGAGCATCCATAACAGGATGGGATCCCTATCTCTCCAGCCTTCCAGTCAGTCAGGATCTATTGGCCACCTGTGCCCAGTGTGTTTCAGACTGACTTAAGATCTGAACTCAAGACTGGCCGTGTGGCTTCCAGCACTGCAGATCAATGTGCTATCACCTGCATTATCACGCATGCTACTTTAGCTTTTAATGACTATCCTGTGCAGCCTTCTAGGTAGATGTTAGGTAATTTCCCCAGGTGTGGTAAACTTGGTATCTTAAGAGTGGTCTGTTAGACTCTGCACTTTGTCTTCATGAACATCGATGTGTGGTTCTCACAGATAGATTTGGAAGGTATGAAAAGATCAGTAGATGAAAGATTTTTATAGATAAAGGCAAATATTAAATTCCAAAGCTTGATGGTTTTGAGAATTAGATCATAGGCTGGAGATCAGAAGGTCAATTTTATACAAAGGATGTAGCTTGCTAATTTTAGGTCAGGAAATACTTAACCCCTTTGTACTGAAAATGTGATTTAAATATTAATGCTTTGTTAGGAAAACATAGATTACACACAATTCATACACAGAAATAATTTCTGGAAGAACTATTGTAAATTATAGCCATATTCCCATATTCTAATCAGCTAACATTCTTTTATCCTTATCCGAGCCCCCAAATATACTGTGAATAGTTGAAAATAAATTTATTATAGAAAGTAAAGAAATAGAAAACTTTGAAGATTCATTCCTAACATGGGGAATTAAGGCTATTCCATCCTGTTACACCTGTGAATTGAGAACTATATTCCTGAGACTAATGGGTATGGCTGGCATGGATGGCATATGAGGGTTAATTATCCTTATTGACAATGTTTAGCTTCAAATCTGCATGGGAAGGTACACAGTTTCAGCTTTCTTTACGTTACTTTGTTGGAACCCCAGTATCAGCTGCTTCTTCATTCTTCTGATGTAGTGGGAAGAAAGAGCAGCTGTGACTTAGTGTTGAGTAATACCATGACTTGAGATTTAATGATGTAACAGTGAAATATGATGACTTAGAACAGAAGCTCATCATGGGACCAGCAGGCCGCGTAATGGTTACATTGCTGGACTCCCACATAGTCAACTGCAGTTCGAGTCCTGGACCCGGCAGCTTAAAACTCACATCAGGTGCATGTGTGTGCCCAAAACCCTGAGAGGAGACTAAAGGTAAAGGGATTGCAGCGCAGGTGAGTGCTTGCATCCCATAGCAAAAACCTCTCTTAAGGAAAGAAAAAGAAAAGGGTTTTGTAATTGAGCCTTGTTAAAGACATTCTTTCTGTGTGTAAAGTATGGTGGTGGGACTGGATGGAAGGGCAATAGCAGGATGAGTAAGAAATCTGCTCTCAATTTCTCTACAGTAGAAGAAGATGAAAACCAGATTTTGAGCAAAAGTGAGAAGGTGGTGGTACTGTATCAGTATGATTACCTGATTCATGGGTGCTGTTCTAGGAGTTGGTTAGATGTGTAGATCTAGGTCTGGCCTAAAAATCTGCCACTCTTCAGCCATCCCTTTCTGTACTGCCACCGGTCCCCCAAATGCCTCCCCTCACTCCCTGCCACCTTGGCTTGTGCTTGCTGTAATTTTTTTGTTTTGTTTTCTGCCAGTGAGACATTGCTGGCTTAGAAAGAAGCAAAATGGGATTAGTTGTTTGGGACCCAGTGGGGAATTCCTGTTAGTCAACTGCAGTTCGAGTCCTGGACCCGGCAGCTTAAAACTCACATCAGGTGCATGTGTGTGCCCAAAACCCTGAGAGGAGACTAAAGGTAAAGGGATTGCAGCGCAGGTGAGTGCTTGCATCCCATAGCAAAAACCTCTCTTAAGGAAAGAAAAAGAAAAGGGTTTTGTAATTGAGCCTTGTTAAAGACATTCTTTCTGTGTGTAAAGTATGGTGGTGGGACTGGATGGAAGGGCAATAGCAGGATGAGTAAGAAATCTGCTCTCAATTTCTCTACAGTAGAAGAAGATGAAAACCAGATTTTGAGCAAAAGTGAGAAGGTGGTGGTACTGTATCAGTATGATTACCTGATTCATGGGTGCTGTTCTAGGAGTTGGTTAGATGTGTAGATCTAGGTCTGGCCTAAAAATCTGCCACTCTTCAGCCATCCCTTTCTGTACTGCCACCGGTCCCCCAAATGCCTCCCCTCACTCCCTGCCACCTTGGCTTGTGCTTGCTGTAATTTTTTTGTTTTGTTTTCTGCCAGTGAGACATTGCTGGCTTAGAAAGAAGCAAAATGGGATTAGTTGTTTGGGACCCAGTGGGGAATTCCTGTGGCCCAGAGAGTGGATCAGCTGTTTCCAGGACTGAGGCCCCTTGCAGGAGAGCATCCTGTTGTCTCATTTTAGCTCCTCCATTTCCATCCTCTTTCCAGCAAGAGGCCATTGCTCCTCCTAGAGCTGAAGACAAATGAGCTGCAGGTGAGCTTTTGCATGCTCCTTTCATCTGCTCACAGCAATGCTGTATGAGTGGGAAGCGGCCTGTTGAATCCACCCAACCTGACTTCCCATCACAGCTCTGCCTGCCCACTTGTTACATTGCTTTGGTTTTTTGAACTGATTAAAGACTTTGCCTTAAGAGAACAATGCTGGATACTTGAAGCTTGGAGAGGGGGGAGTGATTATAAACTTGTCTATAATTGATGCTCCTCTCAAACAATGTATTTATAGAAATAGACTAGATACAAAATTTCATTCTAATTACACAGTAATATGTATGTAAATGCAAATACATGATACGTGCTACATCAGTCCTGGAACATATCCATGCATGAGAATTGATAATGTTTCAACGTGAATCATATGCCCAGTCTTAAAGCATTACTATGAGGAAATAAAAGGCTATCTACATAGAAAATAAAATCCTATTCTTTGAAAACACTGTTTATAGTGGGTCACTTCAAACAGCTTAGAAGTTCAAAGATATAAGTATGAATCTGCCTATGAAACAGGTTGTTTTAGTAGGTTAATTAAATACTTTGGAGTGTAGGATAATCAAAGGTTGTAAATCTAAGTGTAACATTTCAGAATTTATATCCATATTTAGAGTGTGCAAGTTACTCTATTCTTATATACAATTTTTATAATTTGAAATCATTTCTTAATCCCAGTTTTAAAAGAAGTCTAAAGTGAAAAAACAGTGCAGATTATTTCAGTCAGCTGAACTAGTGCCAGTAAAAATATTGGTCATTAGTAGGAGACCAAGTTTATTCATTCTAATGAATCTTGGATACCATTGGAAAGTCCACTTGCAGTTGTGCATAAACAACTTGGTTAGTTGCGGTGTGTGATGGCGTAGAGTTGCTTTTAGGAAAGTCTAAGACAATTTGAGCTTTGCACTGAAGAGATTAAACATTTACCAAGAAGGAGAGTCCGTTTGCTAGTAAATATTTTAGGCGGGGACTTCTTTCCTTTAGACACAGTAATTTTCTGTTTAGAAAAAAGTGTGTGTGGTGCAAACAGGCAACACACTACACCAAGGTTATATCTCCAAACTCTTAAGTAGAGAAAAGAGACAATAAATTAGGTCATTGAGATCAAAATATACTTGTAACAATCATGTAGTTAATTCTAACATAACTAGTGTTTTCCTTTTTTTGTGT